CCCCAAAACCCCAAAACCCCAAAACCCCAAAACCCCAAATGCCGCCAAGATGTTGAAGTTCAGTAATATTTATAAATTTGAATTCAGCCGACTCATGAATACTGAAAACCAAGTGAATGAAATCCTATACCTTGCAGACTCCCAGCCTATTCATCCTCTGAGCCCTATCCAATTACCCATAATATATCATAAGATCTCCCAAACTGAAGTTGCTGTCTTATGATCTCCTTTTATCTCTACTCCGCCTCCTCCACCACTGAACTCTCTTAAATGACAACCACCTATTCCAGAAACTTCTAAAGCTCCTATTCAACCCTCACTAGCCTCCAAACTAGACCAGGCTACTGAAAGACTTAACAAAAGTCCTACCCTTCCTCCAACGAATCTTGCCCGATCCAAGACTTCAAAACCTATTAAGCTCTCCCAGATCAACGAAATTGGAATCCTAAAGAACTTCCAATGCAATGTTTACTCAAAGGTACAGTTCAAATTCACCGTTCTAGCGTTGTGGCCCCAAAAGGACTAAAAAGTACATCCAATGAAGATACCAGAATTGTGCTAAAATTTTCACAAGGACTTGGAACTTCATCGACCACGCAAGGATGCACTTAGGAATCAAACCTTACAGGTGATCTCTATGTGGAGCCCAGTTTACCCAGAAATGCAATCTTAACAGCCATATTAGCAAAATTCATACTGAAAGAAGATTAAATAACCAGTAGAATTCTTAATAATCATCAGAATGAAAAATTTCAAATTGTATATCTCTCTTACTAATATTCTGAGGTATTGGCCTTCAAGCTCATTCTGACCCAAAATTCATAAGAACGCTCCCTATCACAGTAATCGTGAATTAGAAGAATAGATAGGATAATACACATCAGAATGAAGAATTGGGTCAGTTTAGTTCATCAATTTTGATAACTTCAAATTTCTCGGAATTCTTCAAGCTTCTTGATATTTCCTTCAAATAGCTTATTTCATTAATAGCAATGGCAGTAGGCAAGAAGTGGGGTTAAAAAGGCTAATAAATTTACAATACAGAAAAGAAGAATTCTTCCAGCCAGTCATTTCATAATAGTTCTTCATATTTCAACCGCGAATACAAATCTCGGGGTTTTGGGGTTTTGGGGTTTTGGGGTTTTGGGG